ACAGCAAGCGCTCCACGATTTCACTTTATAACAACTATAAACTTAATAAGTTGGGAAGCATTTTGCGAACCAACAAATGTTGTAATTTATAGATCATGCCTGTAAAAACGGTGTGTACCTGCACATGCAGAAATATATTATATTATTATTCTGACTGTCTGCTTGGTAGGATTGCTGGAATCTCTGCAGATAGATATTTGATCCCATCTTGTTGGGAATATTTGTATTGATTCTCAGGTATCAAACCCTTTAGTATTAACTGTCATTGTTTTGCGCGCTACTTTGCGTTAGAGAAACTTCTGACTGCATAGTTGAACCGTTCGAGGTATTTTGTTTTTTTTATGTAATTTGTTCTTTTTCTTAATTAGAACCGTTTATATTGAGCACAGAGTTTGTGTTTTGATATAATATAATACGAGTATCTCAACAACGCGTTGTGAGCCATAGAGAGGAACGTCGTCAGGTCTAATCAAATAAATTTTGGGTTCTTCAGTCCGTTGTTCCAATCGAATATTGGTTGTTCGGTCGCTACAACACATGTGGCTTTTTTATTTGATTATTATTAATATACACAGAAAACACTTGTACTGGTCATACCTTAGGCAGCTAACAGGTGTTCTAATGTGACTTGTTAGGGCACTTCGGCATTCTAATTTGTCCATTTATTGTTATTTCTCCGCATGTCTGAGCAACTTCTATATTCTATATTGTACCAAAATATAATATTGAATAAAGCCATTAATAATAATAATAATAATAATAATAATAACTTTCAATCAGCGAGCATCGTATACAAGTGAGTTTTGCAAACAAAAACGCCGTCTTCATACGCATTCAAACTTCTCCCCTCCTGAATGCTAGACAACACACTTAGCCAATAAGCCACAACGACCTACAATGGAAATGAGTATAGTATTGTCTTACATTGATTAATTATTCATAACACTTCTGACTGATAAGGTGTACGCACTTGTAAGATGCAGATCAACTCGTTACATAGATGACTTGGGGAAACGTGGCTTCAATGTATCATGCATACCTACATCAAGCCATCAAATGATGGCTGACACAGATGTACTCGATCCTCATACTCTTTATAATTTTCTTTTCCTCCTTAACCGTATATTCTACTTTTCCGGGTTGGGAAGTACTCTTATGTGCCCGCGGTTACGTACAGGGTTATAAAAGAGCGGTCTTCATAGACTCAAGGTCACATATTTTATCGTGTTTGATGAGGAGTTCAAATTCACGCAAATTCCCATATTTACATACATGTATTCTAAAAGAGTTTTTTGTTTTCATATATTTTTATGCACAGAATGTCTACACTATATCTATTTCCTCCCACATTACCAATCCATTCTGGGAGCCAAACACTTACGTGGAACTGAACAATTATCAATTATATTTGTGTATTTTCTATTTGTACCTCAGTATATTTATGCAGACAGTGGAGTAGTTCTTCATGTTTGATTGGTTTTCATCACTGCCTTTGAAGTAGATTCCTCTTCACTTTTTTACTTGAGGGCGACTCAAGAAGCAGGTGAGTAAACACCTGATAGCTGGACAGAGCATGAGAAAATCGTACCTCACCAACATGGTGTTGGGTAGCCTGATCGCGGCACTTCCTCAGGTATTCCTGTTTCATTTTCTCACTCTTTTTCTTACAAGCACATGCTACAAAATAAGATCACAAGCTAGTAAATGAAGAGACATCCATGGACTACCGTCGATTGCTGGCGGAGTTAGTCGTCATTCGTTGAGCGAGTTGATAATTCTCCCTCGGGCCGCGGAAGTAGAACTTGGGTGTCTTTGATGGGTAGGATATTTTTGATGATGCATAATCGAACTAACGTTCCTACAGAAGTCGATTCTATGGAGGAAGCTCGTGTAACAGCCTAGGTTGACTGGTTAAGAGTTGACGTCTAACAGCTAAGTATGTGTCAAAACAATGGAGTTCAATTGTTCTTTCACTTCCTTATTTTGCATAGACATCATATTTCCTGTTACCTTATATTCAATGTTGAAAAGCTTTGTTTATCTTAACAGGTAATCCCACGCTCCACTGTGACTTTCCGAAGATGTAAATAAAGACTTATTCACTATCAGTCTGGTTTCTTCTATCGACAACACGAGGATTATCTACAGGCACGAAATACTCAGTGAATAAATCTAAAAGTTTTCGGTTTCCAACATATACTGTTATTATAGTCCAGTAAACACGTTTCTGGCAAGTAAATTGCTCTGTACTAATTGTTAAGGTTTGCAGTTTTTTGTGAAATAATAAGTATCTTATCTCATTTAATATTCACTAGTTCTCTTCCACAGTAAACCTTAACTACTCCCAATTTTTTAATTTTGGGAAGACACTCAGACAACAGCGACGAAACTATCAGAATAGCTTAGTTAGATGTGCAGTTTAAAATGCATACTTGTGCGGTGTTTGGTATATTTAGTATTTATTCTTTTTATTTCAGACTCGCCGAATAGTTGTGCCTTGGTATACTTTGTGGGTGGTTGTTTATCGCTGATAACAGAATAGTACAAGGGTTAGAGTTCCTGGTCACTCAACCGTAAGATTATTGTTATAAATTCTACCAACTTGCTGACGTTGCCGGTTACTTATTTCTTCAAAGTATTTCCTTAAAGTAGTAGATCAAGGGTAGTTATGATGTCTTGACGTACTTGTTGTGCCAACCAACACTAAAAAAGAAAATCTCATGAGTGCTTAGTACAGTTTAAGCCAATCCTCGAACACTTTCTAACTCAAAGAAACGAGCTATAAGATTAATTTTTACTTCCTTCTGGGGCGTTTTAGACGTCAATCTTTCTCTTGATTTGATATCACAGAATCCTTCATACATTATTTGTCAAACAGATAACTCTTCTGATGGATTGGCCAGTGGAATGTGAGTAAGCTATGTTGTAGAGTTCAGAACATTGAATAACCGTGAAGATGAACTAATATCTCATGACAGGTAACTGACATGGTTGTAGCAGTTCATCACCAAACATTAACAGGAAAGCTGTTTATTGTAAGTAAATAGTAAAATGAGGGAATTATAAATATTACCACTATCAGTATGAGCTGTTACGAAGTCAACAATAATCCAAGTATAAATAGAATAATGCTCTACAGACTGGTTAACAAACAAGACAAATATCTCGAAAGTTATGATGAATGACCAGAGATGCTTGAAATAAAGTTGTGAGGTGTGTTTGGGGTCTAAGTTCAAGAACGTAGGAAGATGGGGCTATCATTGTCCTTGACAAGTTAATTCCTAGTGTCTTAGACCCACGGATCGTTCTTCCTTACTTTTGCAATTGATCGTTTGCGAACAAGTTATAAGTGGCATGTAATTAGACTTAGTTTATTATTAGAACGTAATATCAGTCCGTTAGTATAAAATTTCTATGAGTTATAGACACGGTGACATTGTGGAATTATGGTCTACTATGATATTAGTACTGCTCTGATAATAAACTTAATCCTAAAATTGTAGGTTTGTCGTGACACAACTGTATAATCTGTGGGATCTTACGTGGATGTCCCATCATTGTCCACACCAACTCATCGCATCGTAACAATTACCGATATATGATGGAGAACAAACTTAGGCTAGAGATAGAACAATATATTTAATGTGAATAAAAGATTATGTTACAACACTTAAGAATGACCACGCCCGCAAGGCCGAGCCATGCCGTTCGATCGATTCGAATTCACCCTATTCATTCTTCCCGCCTTCTCCATCGTTGGGTTTTTCTCCGCACTAAATATAGAACATCTATTTTACCAGTTGTCTCGTGTTCAGCTTTGATGATTGTGAGGTTAGTGCCCAATGCCATTACAACATTTCTGCTCTATACTCCAATATTATATAGGTTAAAATTATGATGCCTACTGATGGCGGAGTGAAGTTTTATTCTTGGGTGCAAAAGTTTTTGAGTGTGCCTCACTAAACACTTTGCAGTAGAGCGATATGAATGTTTGAGTTTGTAGACATGATGAATGAGTTGACATATATTAGTTAACCAGTAGTCGTATTTCATTGGGGTTAACTAGAATTGTATAACTACCTTGAAACAAAGACTGAAACTGTTGCTAGAGAAAAACAACCTATCAAAACATTTTTTCGAAAAGTAGAATTTATGAAGTAAATAATCCAAAAACCAACGTGGACACAAAACGAGGTTGCCTAAAATGATTTCGAATCCTTAACATAATTGCCATAAGCTTTTCTAAACAACAGCCGGAGCTACATGTTCTTATGAGATCGAATGATTGCTGTAACAGAAACGTGACCACCATAATCGGTACGTGATAGTTAAGTGAAGCTGAAAACCTTCTGACAGTATGGGTCGGGAGAAAAGCAGATTGTTGGGGAAGAACGCTAATCATAAAATCAGTAGCCTATTTCAGTGTTCCTAAGGAATGTTACACTTGTTTCTAAGCCAATTCGAAGAACTATATAAGTTTGTGGCCTACTGGGATGCCACAGATGTTTGTAATTTGACAGCACTTTAACCAATAACACTTTCTATAATTGAATCGTGCCCACCCAGTGAAATCATAAGTCACAAGCGAAGATGTTCGAAGATATATTTGATAGGTTATCAATATACCGAGAAGTGACTGATCTAACCTGGCTAGCAGTTGCAGGAGAAGTTGAACACGACGTTCCCACTCGTGATCTAGTGAGGATCCATGACCGAGCGCCTTCAGTTAGGTCAGTCCATTTAAACTAATGTGGTCAGCATCAAATGTCGAACGCTTCCAGAGCTATTGATTTCGGGGATCTATTTACCGCTACAAGATAATACTTAGTTAGATATACTGTGTAAGAACTATCAAGACTCATGATGCAATTTCTAACATTCTTTCCTGGTTAAAACAACCGGATTTTGAACTTTTGAAAAACTTCTGCCATAATGATGGCTAAGAATCAGCTTATTATAAAGTCGAGTGAGTATTCACTGTGACAGTGTTTAAGAGCTTCCGGTTAGTTCAGCCGGCGGAATCAAATGGCAGCTGATGGATGGCCTTGACACCTGATTTTTGCATTTGCCTGTAGTGATTCCCAACTATGACATCCAATAATATGTACAGAGTTGGGGGTATGTTGATTAGTATTTTATTGACACACTTTATTCCTCCTGTTCATTAATGACTTGTTAACACTCACTTGTCTTAGAAGTATGCTGTCTGATAGTTCTAGGATTGTAGATGGAAGGAAACTTTCTGGTTTGTAAACATATTTGGTTTAGTTGTTAATTCGTATAGAGCTCCATCTCACGTCCATGTATTTAGAGAGATGTAGTTCGATCCTTGATAGCAGGCGCTCAGTTGCTCAAAATGAAATTCTCACCATTACCATTTCTAAGTTAATTGCCTTATGCTTAATATCCCATCTAAGCCCAGTTAGTATGGATATCAGTGACCAATGTTCTTATCAGCGGTTTCGGATGTTAAATTAAGTATAAATATATTAGCTTCCCAATTTTGTATCCGCTGATAATGTTTTTACTTGAAGTTTTATGAGGGGTTGTATTATAAGCTCAATTGTACAGACTACTAATTAACAACCTCAACTTAAAGTCTGATTGTTCCCCCTACACTCGGTTTGGTTTCTATGATTATTTCAAACTTGGAGTATTTTGAACCCACTAATATGTTTGGACACATTTGATAGAGGTTTACAACCATGTCTTATCAACTTAAGGTTCGAAAGTTACAGTTCTTGAATCAAAACTATTTTAAATATTATAACTAGTTTAGCGGTTCTGTTCGACTCAGTTTCTAGGGCCCATGTAAAAACCCGCTCCACTTGGGTTCTGAACAACGAGGTTGTATCATTGACCCTTTCACTTCAAGTGTGGCTCATACGTGTGTGAAAAATGGGTTAATTGAAGTTTAAACATCCCTCACTTTTTAATCAGTAGTATTGAAACCCTTAGAAATTTGGTTTTTTGAAATCCTTTATCACCTGACCGTAGGATAGAGGTAGTTAAGTTCAGTCTTCAGTAATAAGTATAGGTCTGTCGACCTATATTAATCCTTGCAGTTTGTAATACTGTGGAGGTCCAATCTCGTTTTGAATATATCAACAGGTGCTGATACTACGTGTTCCGGTGGAGAATTCCAATAATTCACTACTCGGTGCGAGAAACGAAACTCCAAACGTAAATGATTTGATCTCGGCTTTTGAACTTTCTTCGAATGTCCTATCAAATGATCAGTCCTGGACGGAAGTAAAAGATAAGACATGTTAATACCAAGGTCATCGTTCAGTATACGATAAACCAATATTAAATCACCCCGTACTCTACGGTAAGATAACGGAATTAAGTTGAGGTGTCTCAGTCTGTCTTCATAAGATAGGTCAGATAGACCTTTGACCATCTTAGTACCTCGTTGTTGGGCTCTTTCCAGCATCTCTGCTTCATACTTGAAACAAGAATACGCTGCTTGAATCCCGTATTCTAAATGTGGTCTCACATAAATGGGGTATAGTAATCCAAACATTTCTTCATCTAAATACTGAAAAGACCTACGAATTGACCATAATACCTTATAGCCTTTTGCAGCAGCGGCCTTACAGTGACTAGTCGTTTTGAGATCATTGCTTAATATGACTCCTAAATCTTTATAGTTTCTTGCTTTGGGTAGCGCGAATCCACGTAGTGTATAGTCATACGATTTGTCAGAGTTATTTAGCTGCATCACTACACTCTTATTAGGATTTACTTCTAGTGACCATCTGTCCAACCATGCCACCAATGATCTAAGATCATCCTATAATACTATTCTGTACGACATACTGTTTATGGGTCTCCAACTTTTTATGTCATCAGCGAAGAGTAGAAGGAATGATTTTGGTACGGTTGGTAATTCATTTACATAAAGTAAAAAGAGAAGAGGACCGAGAATTATGCCTTGGGGAACTCCACTTTTTACAGGTACCCACGAAGAGAAAGCCCCATCGACCCTTACCCTTTGTCTCCTGTCATGGAGAAGGTTACTTATCCAATCTACGACTGCATAATGGATTTCAAAACGTTCCAGTTTGAATTTAAGACCAGAGTGGGAGACTTTATCAAAGGCTTTACTTAGATCTATGAAGATCACATCCACAGGAATATTCTGGTCTTTTCAGCAGCCCAGTTAATTATTTTGAATGCGTCATACCTTGTAATTTGATCATGAATTAAGTTTTTGTGATGTGTTCTTTGCCGTCGTGAAACTTGTTTTTACGATGGCTTTTAAATCTAATCATTTACATAGTAATGTGACAATAATGCATCTTGACTTTGAGTTTAGCTGTGTGAATTAGCTGTGATGTTTTACCTCCAGCAACGTTATTGCTACCCAGAAACCAGTATCAATTTTTCTGCGTTTCTGTAAATGGGGAAGATCATTTAAGACCATAGTTTTGGGTACAGCAAAATGATTTTTACTAAAGCTTGCATTTCGTCATGATTTATGTGGGATTAGACGGATTGATGTTTCCATATTTATTTGAACACGAACATTGATACAGAGAGACACTAAATATGTATGCACCCCACTTCATTCGATTTGTGTTAGGGCTGAACTACTGCCTAGGAGCTCATATCGAAGCAGGTGGTTCTCCTACTAAGCCACTCTAGCCTTTGACCTGAGAGTTTAATCCACAAGACAGTGGATCAATGTTAGGAGATTCAGTCCCATGGTAGTCGGTGACCCATAGGTCCATATGCTATTTGTTACTTCAGGATACCGGAGCTTATGTGAACGATTGGTTTGGAATCAGGGTTTTCCAACTCCCCTGGATGGATCCTCCCCACCCATCAGCCTGGTTAAAGCGCTTGACTTCCACTTTTCGTCCTCTCAATTCCGTAAACAACACCCCTGTCTCGAGAAGGCAGTGAGTAGAAATTTCTTGTCAGTGGTTGTTAATGCATGGCCATATGGAAGCATTTCGAGGGGAGAAGCGTAAGTCCCCACCTTGGCATTTTAGGGCGTAAGGACTGTACGTAGATACAAAGTTGATAATGAAGTCCTGGGTGCGTTTCCTATTTCAGACTCATCAGGTTAGCATGCTGGTATGAATGTTTTTTAGTACTCGCCATAACAGCTTTGGATGTGAAAATGTTCATTTTGGAACTGAACGTGAATTTGTAGAGTAAGACCGACTTCCGTGTACATACAGCAGACGATTACTAAATACAATGAAATACGTTCTGGATTCAATACAGGTCACCACTGCTTTTATACTATTACCCAGGTTTCACTATTATGTCTGATAGTGTGATCTTTAGGCATAATGGATAAGGCTGTGAAGATATTTTGATGTAATGTTTGGTGTATGATTTGCATTCCGGGTAAACATTCACGACGTTGGTCGTACTACTTTGAACATATCAGTACCCATGCACTTCATATTCACTATTGTAATGATTCATTTTTTGGTTTTATCTTTGCGTCGTTTCGAGGTTTCTCAATTTCCGATTTAATCATGTCCTAGAATACTCAGTCTAAAACGCTAGTTGTTTTTTAATGGACACGTGACCTAATTGCTCACTTCATAGAGCAGTTGCATGTCAATTACTGTCGCTAATTGTCATGAAAAACCGATGGGTCTTCCTTTGATTACTATTTTGTAACGAAAGTATTATCTATTTTTGAGTTTTGATGTTTTTCTATTTCGTTTCTACGGTAAAAAGTTGATTTTAATTCTTGCCGGATAAATATAAAAAACCATTACTTTTGTTTTCAGATTTTGTCTACTTCGAAGTTGCTGCGGCATCACCATATCACATCAGAAAAATCGAAGAATTGAATAAGGTTTGTTTTTTATTTGGAATCGAATAAGTTAGACTCCCACTGGCGCAGTAGAGGCTAAAGTAGTATGTTTCTATAGGCGACGAGACTTATCACCGAACTTGATACAGCTGGCCGACAAACATCAAAGTAAGTTGTAGTCTAATGTGACATACTATCCCAGAAGAGTTAGGAACTTGCGGTGATGATACTCAACCGGATATACTGCACCAGGTAATGGTCTTTTTCTTTTACTTATTCAGAAGATACATCATCGTGAATTGTTCCTTTCCCGACATCTGGAAACACTTCCAGCAACACATATTCGTGGAAAATGCATAGTTACTCTACATACCGAAACGGAACCTTATCATATCTACCTGACGAAAGACGACACTTTTTTCTTTCAATTAGTGTATGATCCGTTGCAAAAAACTCTCCAAGCTGACCAAGGATCTATTCGGGAAGGTCCTCAATATCAAGCAGAGATTGAGCCTTACCATCCTCTCCTAGAATGTAAGCCTTCGTTATGATATCTTCAATGTTCTTGTTAACTAATAAACCCTTCCTTGACAAGGAGAACTTCGTTTAGAATATCTGATGAATTCCTACTAATGCGTTAGTGACAAGTCTAACAACTAAAATAAGTTCTCAATATTACAGTTTGATTAGGGTAGATAGTGGATTGTAAAAATAACTAATTTTATACTGTAGCTCTTACTTAGTGTGCTATTTTTGATTTATTGTCTTGTTTTTATATTAATTTTAGATTCTACCGACGAATCTACACATGAACAGCTGCTGTGGCGACCAGACAACAATTTAACTCCTTCAGATCTAGACTCATATCTCCTCTTAATTCGATCTCTTGCTACATTGGGCAGATCTTTTTATCCACCACATATTCTCCGTCAGCCAAACCTTACAATGTCTGCAGCTGCAGCGGCCAGAGATACCACACACCAGTTTGCTTTAGATACTTTACATTCTGCTAATTATAATATCTCGCAAGCACTTCAAATGTTAGCTCCTCATGGACAACCGATCTTAAAGTTGGATGAAATGGAGCAGTGGTCAGCAAGCGAAGGCAATCTTTTTGAAGAAGCGTTAGAAAAATATGGGAAGTGTTTTTATGAAATACAAAATGACTTCCTTCCTTGGAAGTACCCAAAAGTAATGTGGTTGATGTTTCATACTAATATTATATTTCACTAGTCACCTCTTTTCTTCGTATACTATAGTGACCAGACGTATCATTCGTTTTTCCATATATCTAATATAGAATCAAGCTCAAGTATCTGGAAGCTTTGTTTTCAGTATTTTACTTTTTACTGACATTGTCACTAAAAAGATATATACCTGCCTAGCATGTGCTAACAGCTTGTATTTTGCATTTTTTGGGGTTTCGATCCATCCTGATATAGTTTACTCTTGTTAATTCAGTATCGTCCCAATGAAAATACACCGGTAATTTTTACAATTTTTTTCCGAATAATTGGATTATTACCATACTTGTTAGTTTTGCATACTGGTAAACTTTCTTAAACAAAATCAACCAGTAAAACAGAAATCAAGGTCAACTGAATTGCTGAAATCCTACGTTTTACTTCATACTATGAAGTCGATCTTAGAATAAGTTAGAAATAGTGCATCTGTACCCTACATTTCTGTAGGTTTGATATTTATTTCAAACATTGAACTAACTTTATAACTCCAGTCTTCAGTTTGCGGTTATCCTTCAATCTACATATTTCCAAATGTTTATCTGTAGTTGTGTTTTGGTGTAACGTATTTAGTTTGTATTATTGATTTTTTATACTTTTAGAGCCTTGTGGAATTCTACTACATGTGGAAAACTACAGATCACTATGTTCAACAAAAACGTATGAAGGCTATTGAAGCAGAACATCATCTAAAGCAAGTATACATTCCAAATTACAACAAGCCGAACCCGGCTGTTCTTTATCCAGTTACAACTGATTCTAGTAGCTCAGCATCTGGATGCGAGGGTTGTCCTAATCTTACATCAACTCTGTGGTATGCTCTTGGTCCATCTCATTCTCCTTTAAAAGTTTGCGTTGATTGTTGGAATTACTGGAAGCGATATGGAGACTTAAAATCCACATCACTTTTGGGTGAGATTCATTAGCTTATTCCAGCACTTTTTAATAAATGCATTATTTAAGTTCATTTATTTTGTGACACTAGCACAGGTGTTTTTTGGTCCATGTTACAACACAAGAAGAAAGTAAATAAGTAGTGGTAAAACGAATTAAGAAAGGTACTGATACTTGGAGTTGTGTACACTAAAAATAAGGAAATTAGTCGAAAAAGCTTCTCATTTCACGGGAAATATGAATTACAGAATGCTACTGTGTTTAAGACTTGGGAAAAATAAGGAATAATTTCATTTGTGATCATGGTACTTTTTATGCTATATTACTGGAATTCTACTTGTATGGTAGTGTATACAGCTCGTAAAAATTTTGTTTATCATTTAACCTATTTTTCAGTGGAGTAGCTTCTAGTATTGAAGAAGCTACAGGTTTATTTTAGGTTTTCTGCTCTTGTCGCATTTTTGTATCATTGAGATACTTAGAGTATAGTTCAAAACCAGGTACACGAATCGGTATCTAGTCAATTAGTCAGTAAATAAAATTCCCGAGACCACCTTTTGTTCTTAATAGTGTGATGATTGTTTATAGATTTTTTATATCGTTATCACAAGTAATGTGGGACCTGGCACACATACACGTTGACTCAAGTTACCAAACTTTATTATAGATTAAGTCGTTTCTTCGACTCTAGTATCTGGTTGTAATATAGTGACTAGAATAATGAATTTAGCTATTAGTTAAAAACATGTGTCTCAAGTATCAGTTTGTCAAACAATACTTCTAAATATAGATATTTATTCGATACTGTTGAAGTTTGACCACTACGTTGTTTAGCCAATGAAATATAGTATGATTAATCAAATATTAATTACCTGTCTTATTATATTGACGATCTACGCTTGTTGTATTTGTTTTCCAGATAAAGTTTCCGAACCAATTTCTTCCAATCCAACATGCGCTTCCAACTCAGATTCCAAAACCATGAGTGTCTCGAAAACTAATATTTCCATTACTGAACTCCAAGCTCGTAAGAACTCACCCACTGTTTCGACTGACCACTCTACAAAGTCGAACGACTTAGGAGTTAATAATTCTAATGCATATATGCTAGCATCTAAAGTTCGTACCAGCGTCAGCTTTCATTTTGTCGCTAGTCTCACTCTTCGAATCGCTCGTCGGCTGTGTGTGACTTCAAGTCCTCGACGCCGAGCTCGTCAACCATTCAAACGCCTCACATTTTTAACTGGTTTCCATAAAGACACTCTCCCGTTGTTAACTAAACTTACTCCGGCTGAATCTCATAAACTTACAAAGCGATTTCGAAATATATCTGCGGTAAGCAAATGCAAATCCCGTGGAGTTGCCTTACATTCTTTGGTCTCACGATTGCATAAAACAAAATGTAGTTCATCTAATGGAGTAGAAACAGTTTTGGCTGGTGAACCCTTATCTATGATTATAGAAAAGTAAGGAGAATGCATGTTAGGTTTTCTTTCATTCTGGGAATTTACATTGCAGTTGTGAATATTTTCTTTCAATTTTCATTATTTTCCCCTTTATTTTTGTTCTAGTGTATATCAGAGTTTTCTTTTTCCGAATACATTGTGGCAAACTCTGTAGTTTTGGTTCACTGGTCTTCAGAATTTGTTTTTATTTTTGTAGTGGCATTATCGACGTTTTAATTCGAAATCGTTTACTTAGTTATGTTGTATTTGTTCACACTACTCCACTGCCTTGTGGTTCAGACCTTTAGGCTTTGGGTGTGGCCCTGCTTCGGTATGGGCACCCAGGCAGTATCACAGCCCTCACACAAATCGAATGATTTATGTGGCGCGTATCTATTTGGTGCCTCCTTGTTTCAATGCTTAAATAAATAAATAAAATAAAATGTTCACACTAATTAGAGATTTTGTAACACTAAACATGGCTTATCTGACTCAGTAGTTTATGAATGATCAGATCAATCCGGTTAAACTGAAGCTACAATTAAGTGATTCAACATGTGAATAAACTGTCATTCTGTTAAATTGATTCCTTTCTGATCATATTCATCTTAAGTGTATTTAATGGTAAGGTGTGCATATAGGCTTACTTTGCATCTATATAAAGAGCTTGATTATTTATGCTCCCACAAACAATTTAGTTTCCCGACTAGCGGTTATGTAGTTTGGACAGTTCAGCCCCCAAATGCCCTGGTACGGCCGAGGGTGGGGGAAGTTAGCTCTCCCTCTCGATCCACCTATTACCTGTTCTCATCAAGTGAATCTTACCTGCCTTGACCAACCGTAATTATAGAAGTACAGTAGGAATTCACAGGTGAATCCCAAAGACTGTCTGTTAGGTGTAACATTCAGGATGTCAATCGATAACACGGACCATTGGGTTTTAAGGTGCATGACATAAGGTAAAATAACAACAATTCTATGTACAAAGTGATTCTATTCAACTAACATCACCTGACAAGTGGTACTATTTATAGTTGAACAGTAATTAATAACACTATGGAAAGAAATAATATTTAATGCTCTATAATTACAAAATGTAACCAACTGAAGGTAATCCACTACAATTTGAAAACTGTCAGTTTGAATTTCGCCCAAAATGCCCTGGTACGGCTGAGGGTGGGGAAAGTAAGCTCTCCCTCTCGAAATGCTCTCACATGGCCACGCGTATACAGCCACTGCCAGGGAAGTCCTACTCACTGCCTTCTCACGACGGGGGTGTTGTTTACGAAATTGAGAGGACGGAAAGCGAATGTCCGGCGCTTTAACCGGGTTGGTGGATATGGAGGATCCATCTAGGAGAGTTGGAAAACCCTGATTCCAAAACTCTGGTGCACATGGGCTCTGGCATTCTGAAGTAACAGATAGAACGTGAACCAATTGTTGGTCACCGGTTACCATGTGACTGCATCTCCTGACGTTTCTCCACTCTCTTGTGTATTAAACTTTTAGATCAAAGGCTGGAGTGACCTAAGAAAACCACCTGCTCCGATCTGGGCACCAGGGCAGTATCACAACCCACACACAAATCAAGTGACTTGTGTGGCGCATTTGTATTCGGTGCCCTTTTGTACCACTAAAATCATATCGATACTTTCAAACTCGTTTCACTTGGTTTGAGTAATTTAGTATTCGAGTTATCCTTCAAGCGTTTTGTATCTCACGCTAGCAAATAAACATGTACCCAATTATTTGGTTATATATCAAACTCTGCGATATATGTATCCGAAAGACGTTTGCAGAACTTGGTGTTCTGTGAATCGGATGATAGGATTGGCCTTTAATATGTTGGTAAAGTATGAGAGTTTGTTCTGAGTTGTCAAAAATAAAACGCGCGTATCTGTAGCTTATAATCCGTAGTTCAGACAGTCATTAGATATAGTGTTACAGATTTCGAAATTGATTGGTTTAATAATTACGTATATGCATATAAATATTACTGTATATTAAAGTCTGATGAGGATCTAATCGAAAACAATATTGTTCGCTTATATATGTTGTTCTAGAGTTCAAAATGTTTTCACTAGTGGTTGTGGGATCTACTATCTTCTTATTTTTACCATTAATCATACTCCTTAATTAAATGTTTTACGACAGCCCGTTATTGTAGATGATTGCCTTTTAGAGATGTATCATAAGGAGTATTAGATTTATAATGTTTTCCTTTAGAAGGTGGGGGAGGGGGACAACAGCGTTTTTCTTTATGTTCGTTTGCATATGTTCTGAAAGGTTGTCATAGATTTTTATCCTCATGTGTGTTACTTCGTGCGAAGAATTCCTATTACGGACGAGTCGTGAAAAAGTAAGATGTCAATTTTGGTCTGTTGCTGATGTCACTATTTTTGATTAAGGTGTCGATGCATTCTTTATGAGACAGGTATTTATGCGGATAAAATTTATTTACTTCCCTTCAAATATTTAGGTCATATATTGGGGATTTATTATACTCTTTTCTACAATATTCTTTTTAATTAGTCTGAGAGACAATTTTGGCGACATAGTTCACCTGAACCTTTATGTTTATCAAGTGAAGTCAACTCGAACTGCGTAGTTTACTGATATTTGAGAAAGAATCGTCTACTAATTACTGAAGTAAAATTTTCTCTTTCAATTAGTCAAAATGGTGTACAGCTATTTCTAAAATCCACAAAGCCTTTCTAGTTTCACCTTTGGATATAAGTAGAAAATCAGAATTCTAGTTTGTCAGTGCATATCGCTGTCTAAATAAGCATTTATAATTTATGATATAATATTCCTCACTGTCCAACTGCTGTCGATAGTTATGAACAGAAACATCACAAACTTGTGTACAAAGATAAGTACCTGATGTAGTCAAGTTGAATTTACTTTGCTCTCCTTCACTACATGTTATCTACTCTAACTGTGTGATAAAATATGGGAAAAACTGGGTGGATGTTTAATGACAATTACTAAGAGGAAAACCGTAGTAGGACTGTGGATTTATGTTTTAAAAAAGATTGAGTATAATTGTGTCAACTTGAAAGGTGTCTTATTTTACTCCAGACAAAATATGGGGAAATTGCAAAGATTGTTAGCGTTTTAGACTTATGAAGATTAAGTCTTGACTCATATTCGAACCTTTATTATTCAATGGTGAAATGGCTTTAATTTTTTAAAGGCTTACGAACTACATTCTATTTTATCTACTCACTGAAATATAGTTCATACTTCATATTATGTTCTCTACAGCCTCGTTCTAGATGTATCTTAAGGGTCAAGATCTCATTCTGTAATCAAATAGTTTGTGGGGCTCTTATTTTTAGTCAGGACCTACATGTTTTCCACATTTATTTTATGATGGAGCATTTTCTTTTTATTCTCACTTATTGCTCTGTTCACATATTTTATTATGTGATTTAAGGTGCAACTCAACAGGTATTCCTAACCTCAATACCAATGGTATTATAAGTTCTTGACTTTATTCGACTGATAGTTTTTGTCTTAAAATCATAGTAGTTAATCATAAAATTTTATTTAGAAATTCGTTTGGTATATTTTTTTAAAAAAATAATGTGATCTGGTTTAATCGTTAAAAATAGATCTTTGAGCTAATGTTTAATTTGGTGGATACCACATAACTCATTTTGCATCTGAAGGTGGGTAATTATTCTTAGTGATGGTAGACCTAGAGAGCACATGAAACCTACCATGTTCGTCAGTCTCGGTTTTATTTGAGAGAGTATGTCAACTAACGACATTATCATCAATGAAGGTTGGGAGACAATTAGTTTATGTAATGTTTCATTGTTTAATTCTTATACGATAACTTCAGTTCATCACTGTTTAGGGCAGTTACTATTAGTATCACCATTTTCGAGTTATGATATAACAGTAAATCCGGAAATATTTCCTAAAATATTTTTACAACCAGCATGATGGAAATCTAATCTGTTATCTTTTCACCTATCCATTATTTGATAAAGATACATATTTTCGTTGTATAAATTGCAAGAGTGATAAACTAACTATTGTTGTTTTTTTAACGTTGTGGATTGTCTACCGAAGCGATCACATAATGAGAACAAGTAAATTGTACTATATGATGTCGTTCCGCACTATTGTTTAGCTGTACTTATATCATTAACTTGCATGCGTCATTTTATTCAAATTGACGATAAATTCTTTATGTACTTCTGATATCAGAAGTTTAAAGTTGTTTTGTCATTATCTCTAAAACTATGTTCACACTGAGGAAATTTACTACAAATCATAGTTTCTATAAGAAAAACTCAGGCTTCGTTAAACGGGTTCTAGTAATAAGGTACTCGTTGATAAGAGGGATCTTCATTTTAGCTCATATTCTGTTGACGTAGCGGAAAAATTTCGTTATTGCGAAATGTTTCACAATAGTCCCTAATTTACCAGTGCACCTAGATTATAAAAGAATTTGTTAAGTATTTCCCACCCCCATAAATTCTTGTACAGTTTTACACTTATAAATGCTAAACAATGATCAGGTTTAAGACAATCAAATGCTTTATAATTACAATATATTTTGACCTTTGTAAAATGTCACAATAATTATGTGTTTATAACTGTAGAGCTGTATGATGTAGTTATTGAAAACAATTTTCGCGCTCAAATCTTATTTGCTTTTAAATAATATATATATTGAGAATTACTTCCCAGTTAAATCAAACATCCTGGAACTTGTTAGTATTGGTTATTTATAGATGAAATAGATGTTAGAACGGACACATATAGGTGTACAATACTGTTTTCATTTGGACCTTTATCAGGCGTTGCCTCAATACAGTAATATTTCTATGCATATGTGAAAACGTTAGTGGGAAATCTAAATTTTTAAAATGGTTGTTATTTCAAGATTTCCGCTTGTTAGGAAATATCGTTCTCAAGAATTTTGTTTAGACCAGCACTACCTAAGATATCCTCTGTAAAATGTTTTGATTGGTTGCCTGATTTATAGTTATTTCGGAACATTATTGTTAGATTCACCAAACAACTTGTAAAATCAATATTGCTAGGATTAATTATTTTTAGTTTTTATTCTTTTCAGTTCTAATTTCATTTGGTTCTTTGAATATTTCTTTTTATGTGTGAAATTAAGCCCCAAATATGCCCCTTCAGATACTGCTCTCGACTTAGCTGTGAACGGTTTGGTCACTACATGTGATTCCGGAAGTCTCAAGGATCCTGGTTCGATGCCTAACAGTGATGAGCATTCAGGTGATTTTATTCGTTTAATCTTTTTTCTTGAAAATTCATTGTCTTTATTCGCAGTAAGTTGTTTTTTTGAAATATATGATATATATAATCATAGTTTCCCTCTCTTTTTACTCTTGCCATTGTTACCTTCCTCACATTAAACTAGTTTCATGAGGACAGTTTTACCTGGAATTTGTTGTATGAATTCATTGAACTTACTGGGAACATTTTGACATAAGTATTGGTTCGCTAACTAGTTACATTAAAACCTACAGAATACTTTTATTGACTCGAATTTTTATTTATTCTTTATGCGAAATATAGGATTTGTAAACTCTATGCTATGCTTTCAAAATGTGTGCGTCATCTAATAGTGTTGTACTTGCTCTTACAAATGTATAAATCTATTGTTTAGTCAAATAAATAATAACAATAGATTTATACCTTTGTAAGAGCAAGTACAATACTATTAGATGACGCAAACATTTTGAAAGCATAGCATAGAGCTCACAAATCCTGCTTCGGTCTGGGCACCCAGGCAGTATCACAGCCATCACGTAAATCAATGATACCTGCTATTGGCCTCGTTATTATGTGTTGCTTGTGTATTTGGTGTCCCCTTGTACCCAACCGTTGTTGCTACCTTGATGTGGTGGTCGGGCTTGCTTATCGTGATGAACCAGTCGAGCTATATTGGCTGGAATAATCGTTCCTCAATGTCCTACCATACCAGACAGGTCGGTTGAGGAATAATGAGACTAAAAGCAGCAAACCCAAGATCCGAGGGCGAAGTCGTACTGTTGACTGTACAGCGGTGTGACGGCAGTAAGGCGTTTCCTTCAGACAACCAGCATAACAGCGATACTGCCTTCCTACAAGGAGGGGTGTGTTTAGAAAAGTTTGACCGTAAGAATCCACACAGCGCCTTATCCCATGGATATCCGTCTCCGACAGTAAGGTCTCAACAAGTACAGAGCTAACACGAAACTTACTCACAAAAAGGTCTCGTGTGACCGACCTCAAGCAGTTGTCTCTTGGGTAGTGTGGTCACGCTCTCAGGTCACTAAGACCACCTTTGATCGAATTTCGTTTTCAGGTACCTCCAGAAGAGTTCTTCCACGGTGTGGTCAGCCGGGATGTGACAACCGCCGTCATACCTCTAATAGCAGTCAAGATCACTGTATTCATAGTCAACTTCCCTCTTCAATTCCTATTATCCCTCATACATCGACTTAATTCTAAACTTCCTCTCTCGGCTTCCACCTCAAGTGTCACCATAGCCAACGATTCTAGTGCGCAAAATACTGTCCCAGGTCTACTGAAACCTCGCTCCAAACTACACATTGGAGCCTTCAACGTACGCATTCTATGTCAAATCAGCCAACAGGCCTCTTTGGCTAAAACCCTAGAATCTCGTACCATTGATGTATGCTGTGTCTCTGAAACACGCATACAGGATCCCAGTGTGGTCATTCACTTGACCTCACCTCGGCAAAACGGAGAGACAACGAGATACACCCTCCGTGTATCTGGTGACCCGACGGCCAGTTTTTGTGGACTGGCAGAAGTAGGCATAGCACTAAGCATAAGGGCGGAACAAGCACTGTTAGAGTGGGCCCCCGTTAACAGTCGTTTATGTGCTGTTCGGCTAAACGGCTCCGTAAGAACTCGGAAGGATAGGGACACACATCGTTGCCTTTTTGTCGTTTCTGCCTACGCTCCCACCGACTGCAGCTCAGATGATGTGAAAGACGAATTTTACAGAAAGCTGTCCGAACTTCTTAAGAAAGCTAAACGCTCAGACATAGTACTCGTAGCAGGTGATTTTAATGCTCAGATAGGCAGTTTAAACCAAACAGAAAGGCATTTAGGTGGATATTTTAGTATTCCGACACAGCGAACAGATAATGGTGATCGTCTGCTGCAGCTATGCTCAGATAATCGTTTATTTTTAGCAAACACAAATTTTAAGCATAAGGAGAGACATCGTCTAACATGGCGACCCCCTACACCAAACCAACGATGGACTCAAATAGACCATATTGCCATCAGTCGTCGTTGGAGAGGGTCGGTAGAAGATTGTCGCTCATTCTGGAGTACCTGCTTGGACTCCGACCATGCCCTAATACGGGCACGCATCTGCTTGCGCCTCACTGGACGCAAAAAAGCCACAGTAAAAAGACCCATTAGAACTGAATTGAGTGGCGAGAAAACCAAAAGTAGGTTCCAGGAACAACTGAGGTCACAATTAGGTAGTTCTTAAAATGAGGTTGACCCAGATGTTGCTTGGAAAGCTATACCAACGGCTGTGGAAACAGCAGTGACTTCTATTGATGATTTAAACCAGAGGGTCGCAAAGAACCAATGGATTTCCTCTAAGTCTTTTGCACAAATGGATTCTCTCAAACTCGTCCCATCAGGCTCTGAACACGATGAAGAGCGAAAACAAATCAGATCTAGGTTAAGCAAAAGTCTAAGGAACGACCGTGAGCAGTGGTGGGCAACGAAAGCAGAAGAGTTGGAAAACGCGGCGGTTGTAGGTATCACCAGACAACTTTTCAGACCAATAAAAGAAACTGGAATTAAGAAGTCAAGTTTGAGACCGTCTTGCAAAAGGTCGACACTCTTATCTGCTTCCGGTCTAGACGTTTAGAACGATGCGTGGAACACTTTAAGGAGCAGTTCAGCTACTCTACAACTACCCTCCATTCCCAGACAGTGTGAATAAAACATTGAAGTAGGTCCCCTGACTCTAGCAGAAGTTCAAAAGGCTATAGTTAATCTGAAACGAGAAAGAGCAGCTGGTCCAGAGGTCTTTAAGGATGGCGGTCCAATTTTAGCGATTCGGTTGACTAATATTTTAGCTAAGATCTGGGAGTTGGACGTTATCCTATCTGACTCGTCATAATCACTGATTGTCCCCAGTATATAAGAAAGGGTTAAAATCATCCTGTGATATCCATTGAGGAATTAATTTGACTAATATAGCATCTAAAATACTAGCCTCGATAATTATTGGACGCCCAACTAAGACTCGTGAACTGCAGACACGAGAAAATCAGACTGGCTTCAAACCTCGTCGTGGCTGCATCGACCACATATTCGCCATTCGTCAGGTTTTAGAACACAGGCATTTGATTTCCTGTTCAGTAATTTACGCTGAAGTACTTTCAGATTTATTTGTTCATTCTTGATGGTAAAGAGTTGTTACTGCTTTACTCTACCAATGTATTAGGAAACTATGTAGGTTTTAATGCCAATTATATGCTTCACACAGTGATGAGTTTTCTTGAAGTAACAAATCTAAATTGTCACAGCACATAGTACTGAATGTTTCCAAAGTTTTATTTGTATAGTTTAAGGAGAATGAAATTAGATGTTCTGTTCAATGGCCGTAATTGATTAACCGATTTAGGTCTTCATTCTAATTTTGATTTTATATAGAAAGCATCAAACAATTTTCTACTAGTTCGATTGTCATCTCATCTACTAAGCTTTGAACAACAAGATATTGTTTTATGTACTGCTAGGTAATTTTCAGTGTAGTTCATAAAATTGGTAGTAACTTTTAACAGACGACGTGTTAAAGCCATTACTTCCTATGTAATTCTACTCGATTGCTTTCAGTGAAACATTAATTGTTCATGCATAATTGATTTAACGGTGTCTAGATATTTTTTTGATAGTGAAAAGTTTTCTTAAATGTAGTAACATGATTTGATGACACAATCACTTTCATAGATTACGTAATTTGTATAGATTAACCATAGTCAATGTAAAATATTCAATAAGCAAACTTACTTACGACTGTTACTCCTAATGGAGCATAGGCCGTCGACCAGCATTCTCCAACCCACTCTGTCCTGGGCCTTCTTTTCTAGTTCAATCCAATTGTTGTTCATTCTTATGTCTATCTCCATTTCTCGGCGTAATGTGTTCTTTGGTCTTCCTCTCCTCCTTCGGCCTTGAGGATTCCATATGAGAGCTTGCCTTGTGACGTAGTTGGGTGCTTTCCTCAATGTGTGTCCTATCCACTTCCAGCGCTTCTTCCTGATTTCTTCCTCTGCTGGAATGTGGTTTGTTCTCTCCCATAATGGGTTGTTGCTGACCGTGTCTGACCAACGGGTCCAAAGTATTTTGCGTAGACAACTGTTAATAAACACCTGTATCTTCTGGATGATGGCTTTTGTAGTTCTCCGGGTTTCTGCCCCATACAGTAGAACTATGTTGACATTTGTATTGAAAATCCTGACCTTGGTGTTGGTTGACAGTTGTTTTGAGTTCCAGTTCGGGTGTCGATGCAACCCAATCCTGAAGCAACATTTTGCATTTCGAGGGAGAGAATCGCATCCCGAACATGCTTGCATTGTTGTTTATAATGGTCAGAAGACTCTGCATTTTGTCAGCGTCTTCACCAAATAAAACTATGTCATCGGCATATTCCAAGTCAACAAGTGAATCGCCTGGTAGAAGTTCAACCCCTGAAAATTTAGATGAGGAGAGTGTTATCTCTAAAAGTACGTCAATAACAAAGTTAAACGAGAATGGAGATAATGGGCAGCCCTGATGAACACCACTTGAGGTATTCAATTCTGATGTCAGTTCGCCATAAGCTCTCATTCGACCAGTTGTGTCCGAGTAGAGAGCCTTTACAAGGTTAATGTACTTTGGTACTCCTTTCAATGACAAACACTGCCATAGAACCTCACGATCAATAGAGTCGACTGCTGCTTTAAGGTCGAGAAATGTCCTTCAGTTGTAAATATACTGCTCTCGCTTTACCGATCCGCGCTTTCACATCTGCATCAGATCCACCATGTTCACCAATGATGCTGCCCAAATATGTAAAGGTTTTTACATCTTCCAAATCTTCTCCGCCAATTGTGATTGGGTTGGTGCATGCTGTGTTGTATCGGAGAATCTTGTTTTCCCCTTGTGTATGTTGAGACCTACGGCTGCTGAGGCTGCTGCTACACTGGTCGTTTTCTCCTGCATTTGTTGTTGCGTGTACGATAGAAGAGCCAGATCATCTGCGAAAGTCTAGATCGTCCAGTTGCATCCTAGATGTCCACTGTATCCCGTGTTTCCCCCAGATGTTGATGTCTTCATGATCCAGTCGATCACCAGGAGAAAGAGAAAGGGTAAGAGTAAGCAAGCTTATCTGACACCGGTCTTTACTTCGAATGAGTCTGTCAATTGTCCTCCATGCACGATTTTGCATTTTACTTCATCATATGAATTCTGTATGATATCGACTATCTTCTGAGGCACGCCGTAGTGTCGAAGAAGCTTCCATAGTGTTGTTCTGTTCATGCTATCAAATGCTTTTTCGTAGACAATGAAGTTGATGTAGAGTGATGAATTCCATTCAATTGATTGTTACACAATGATCCGTGATTGCCTCTTTTATCCCTTTCCAGTTGCTCTCCATTGAGTAGATCATGAAAGGCCTGGAACTTATTGCTGAGGACTATCTTGAATTTATGGATTTTTTCAGTATCATGGAGAAAAGCCGTACTAAACTTTTATGATGTCCGCCCCGTTGTCCAGTGCTTCTTGAGTTTCAATTTCATCTTGGCGACCAACAAGTGATGATCTGATGCTATATCAGCTCCTCTCTTGGTTCTCACGTCCTCTATAGTCCTCCTGAACGTTTTGTTGATGCAAATATGGTCGATTTGGTTTTGTGTAGAGTGATCCGGTGAAGTCCATGTGGTTTTGTGTATGCGTTTATGTGCGAATATGGTGCCGCCTATGACCAGTTTATTGAAGGCACATAGATTTGCAAATCTCTCACCATTTTCGTTCCTTTCTCCCAGTCCGTGTCGTCCCATGATGTCTTCATATCCGGTGTTGTCCGTTCCAACCTTGGCGTTGAAATCTCCCATCAGAATGGTCAGGTCCTTTGTTGGGCAATTCTCGACGATTGACTGCAGCCTATCGTAGAATTGATCTTTGGCTTCTTCATTGTGGTCGTTGGTAGGCGCATAACATTGGATGATGTTCATTGAAATGCCCTCCTTCTTTGTTTTGAAGGAGGCTTTGATGACCCTTGGTCCATGAGATTTCCGAAGGAACAAGTCTTTCATTATGAGGCGTCATAACTCTTCTAAATGAAGACCTGACTCCCAGGGCAGAGTTTAAATGGTTTGAATAATTTTTCGTGGTTAGCGTTATTTAGCGAGTTAGTTTTCTACTGGATGGGGTCACCAACCCCATACCCAACCCTCCTTTATCCGGGCTTGGGACCGGCAGTAGCCCCCGGAGTGACTCGAGGTGAAGTTTTAATAAGCACACAGTCACCAAATTTATGTTGACGCAACTCAGATTATTGACCAGTAGAAATAATGATGTGAGGAACTAAAGCCAAAGGAAAATAACATAGAAAGTAAAAAAGGAATAAATAGTACGTGATAGTTTGAATAAAGCAAAAGGACAAAATTTACAGAATACGATTATGTGATAATACGATATTTAGAGAGCAACAATTAATAATTATTAAGGTAGATTAATGATGAATACAGTGATCTTGACTGCTATTAGAGGTATGACGGCGGTTGTCACATCCCGGCTGACCACACCGTGGAAGAACTCTTCTGGAGGTACCTGAAAACGAAATTCGATCAAAGGTGGTCTTAGTGACCTGAGAGCGTGACCACACTACCCAAGAGACAACTGCTTGAGGTCGGTCACACGAGACCTTTTTGTGAGTAAGTTTCGTGTTAGCTCTGTACTTGTTGAGACCTTACTGTCGGAGACGGATATCCATGGGATAAGGCGCTGTGTGGATTCTTACGGTCAAACTTTTCTAAACACACCCCTCCTTGTAGGAAGGCAGTATCGCTGTTATGCTGGTTGTCTGAAGGAAACGCCTTACTGCCGTCACACCGCTGTACAGTCAACAGTACGACTTCGCCCTCGGATCTTGGGTTTGCTGCTTTTAGTCTCATTATTCCTCAACCGACCTGTCTGGTATGGTAGGACATTGAGGAACGATTATTCCAGCCAATATAGCTCGATTGGTTCATCACGATAAGCAAGCCCGACCACCACGTCAAGGTAGCAGCAATAATTTCTTATTTATATATGTTGTGCTGAAACACAACTTTTTGACCATTAGGTTTTCACTTTTTAACCACAATGCACACACGTCACTTACACTGAGTATTATTTTTAATTATATTTAACGCGGAATTCTGGATGCTGTTCCATGTTTCCAAAGTAAATTTAACGACTAATTGCATTTGATAACATTTTTGACTTTTAGCTTAACAGCGTTTTTTGCATTGGCTTTTAGTCAAGTTCATCTAATCCGTAGCACATCTGTTTGAAATCTGTCTAATGGTTTTGATGTGTAAGCTACAATTTCATTTATAATTAATAGATGCCGACTGTATTTCTAATAAGAACCCTAACGCGACAATTCCTGATGATGAATCGAACATTGAAGTCATGTCAAACAATCATGGGTGCATAAATTTGGGTCCAAAACGTCGTTTTACTGTTGGGTCTGATGTAGATGGTGCGTCAACTTTGATGTACCGAGCCACTCAACTGATTAAGTAAGTATCCATTTCGAACTGTATGCTTTGATGCTTAATATTTCACGTATTCCCTCTTCAGACTAAGCCTAGATATCAGTAGCATCTTTGATAGACATAAAAATACCAACCATCTTTTTACACACTTAGGAAATATAAGGAACTTTGTAAGGTGTACTAAAGTACCACACCGTATGTTCAAATCGTTGTATCTCATATGATTAGGGTGACGTACCCTATGTTAGTTGTAAATAACTTACTAAATTTCGTTGTTTCTCTTGCAAGCCATGTTAACAGATTTATCTTTCAATGTTTCTGGTAGTATTAACTCATTAAATTGCACTGATCCATAAAAGATGGAATATCCTAACTGCGAAAAGTGATAGTACAGAAATGCATCGTCTTTAAAGCTCAAACTTCACATAAATTCAGCAAACGATAGGCTAGAGACAACGAAACAAACGGAATTAGAAACAGCTTGTGAACTGAGCTGGTTGATGGTGTACACAAACCTATATTTAGTCAGTAAGCTAAGTTTCATATATCTCATGTGCTTACAGCTGCAGCATATCTGTTAAACAAGATTTCACCGTTATTTGAAATAGAATTATTGAGAGACACTTATCATCAAAACTGCTAAAGTTTTATCATAAAGTTTGTAATGCAAGAATTTTCATTTCATTGCGTTCGAGTTCTTCACTGTTGTCTGTTGTAACTCTCCAAGAACAAATAAGTAGGAGGGATGTATTGCAAACAGAAATAAGGAATTGCAAATCGAAGATATTGACTTGAAAGAGCTTCTGCATCATATTCTCATGTGAGATTGTTTCATTAATGCAAATTTATGTCTTGTTGAATATTAGCCTGAAAAGGTATACTTTTTCTTCATTTTCATCCTTTACAATTGAATTAATCCCTATTGGTTTCTTATTTTTTTATTCTTTTGTTAAAATGTCATTTTCCTGGGTTAATTTACAAGAAATTTCTTTTGCTGTTTTATTTTACCTCAGACGTTCTCGACGTAAATTTTTGTCGTTAACTGAACTTCGTCGTTTCGGTCGTCATCCTTGGTTTGATTTTAATGTGGGTTTACATTCACAAAATGGTCTACATCCTGTTTCTTCAAATTTAAAAAAGAAATCTCATGCCGTCACAACCAATTCGACTACAGAAACTGATCTTCCAAATCCTGGTATTGTTACTTCATCGTCAAGTGCACATTGAATTCAGAATAGATCGTCCCATTACTTCATTTCCATAATAGGACATTTTCAACATTTTTGTGTTTTTACTGTTACTTTTGCATGACGTTATCATGTCAGACATTAATACTGACAGTATTGTAAAACTTATTCAAATCCTATTCCAGTATCGTTTTCACCATTCATTAGGTTCGCGGGGATTTAAGTTAAGTAATTTCGTCATCATTATCACTTCATTGTTTTTGGTGTATAGAAATGTAATATCTCTTCTTTTATGCTTTCCTTGTTCTAAGTTTATAAAAAATGTCTTCTTCATCTTGATTCCATTTTCTGTATCTTCCTATTTGCTCATTAGGTTATTTGAATAAACTTGTAATGTCTAATTTTTTCAGTTATTTAGGAGGGTGCATTTAACAAAATTCAAGTTACCGGAAAATATTACATTCAAGGTGTTTATTTTCTGTAAATTTTTTTTCTCTATTTTGTAATTAGTCTATAAAATAGCCGTTGTTGGGTGACTCAGTAGTTGTTTTCCTAGGTAGCGATTATTAAGTGCGAAAATTTTATTTGAACACAAAGGGCACCGAATACAAACGCGCCACACAAGTCACTTGATTTGTGTGTGGGTTGTGATACTGCCCTGGTGCCCAGATCGGAGCAGGTGGTTTTCTTAGGTCACTCCAGCCTTTGATCTAAAAGTTTAATCCACAAGAGAGCGGAGAAACGTCAGGAGATGCAGTCACATGGTAACCGGTGACCAACAATTGGTTCACGTTCTATTTGTTGCTTCAGAATACCAGAGCCCATGTGCACCAGAGTTTTGGAATCAGGGTTTTCCAACTCTCCTAGATAGATCCTCCATATCCACCAACCCGGTTAAAGCGCCGGACATTCGCTTTCCGTCCTCTCAATTTCGTAAACAACACCCCCGTCGTGAGAAGGCAGTGAGTAGGACTTCCCTGGCAGTGGCTGTATACGCGTGGCCATGTGAGAGCATTTCGAGAGGGAGAGCTTACTTTCCCCACCCTCAGCCGTACCAGGGCATTTTGGGCGAAATTCAAACTGACAGTTTTCAAATTGTAGTGGATTACCTTCAGTTGGTTACATTTTGTAATTATAGAGCATTAAATATTATTTCTTTCCATAGTGTTATTAATTACTGTTCAACTATAAATAGTACCACTTGTCAGGTGATGTTAGTTGAATAGAATCACTTTGTACATAGAATTGTTGTTATTTTACCTTATGTCATGCACCTTAAAACCCAATGGTCCGTGTTATCGATTGACATCCTGAATGTTACACCTAACAGACAGTCTTTGGGATTCACCTGTGAATTCCTACTGTACTTCTATAATTACGGTTGGTCAAGGCAGGTAAGATTCACTTGATGAGAACAGGTAATAGGTGGATCGAGAGGGAGAGCTAACTTCCCCCACCCTCGGCCGTACCAGGGCATTTGGGGGCTGAACTGTCCAAACTACATAACCGCTAGTCGGGAAACTAAATTGTTTGTGGGAGCATAAATAATCAAGCTCTTTATATAGATGCAAAGTAAGCCTATATGCACACCTTACCATTAAATACACTTAAGATGAATATGATCAGAAAGGAATCAATTTAACAGAATGACAGTTTATTCACATGTTGAATCACTTAATTGTAGCTTCAGTTTAACCGGATTGATCTGATCATTCATAAACTACTGAGTCAGATAAGCTATGTTTAGTGTTACAAAATCTCTAATTAGTGTGAACATTTTATTTTATTTATTTATTTAAGCATTGAAACAAGGAGGCACCAAATAGATACGCGCCACATAAATCATTCGATTTGTGTGAGGGCTGGGATACTGCCTGGGTGCCCATACCGAAGCAGGGCCACACCCAAAGCCTAAAGGTCTGAACCACAAGGCAGTGGAGTAGTGTGATGATTATGAATAGAAACATACTTAAATAATACTTTTCCGTTTAATGATTATTGTCATGTTCTTTAAAGTATCAGGTTGTGGGGGTGTTTTTGGATGCTTAGTTCAACTTTTGCGGTGGGCCGTTGAAATTTTGGCGTTTTTGAGATGTATAAATGGTAGTGTTAAAGTTACAGTTGAAAACAATTTGAGTTCATTGAGATTTGAGCCAACTTTTGCACTGCTGATATCTCAATGTGGTTGTAAAAGTTGGAGCGTATGATGTATTGTAAAACAGGTGTTTTGTACTTGTGAAATTTGTTTCTCTCTGGGGTTTAGAGTACCCGGCAGTTCTCTACTTTCGTCTATCTTCATTCCTGATGAGTTTCTTTAATCAATGGCAACACCGTGGTTTGGCCATTTCGTAGATGCTGAATGGGATAAACAGAAATCAGTCTTCTAACAGATTAAACCGGCTATCCCATTGCCAACTCCTCCGTGAGATCGTAGATTCTATGTAACTCATCGGCACCTAAACTGCTCAAACCATGTTAAGGTTCCGGAAACCAACTAATCAATAATTATTTGTTGTCCGGAATTATTACCATCGCTGGATATTTAAATGGGTTGTACCTGATGCTGAGATCCCGAATCCGCCGATGCGTTGTGAAAACCAAAGATAAATGATGAAGGTTTATTTGACTCCCAAAATAATGTACACATTGACTACCTTCTTTGTAAAACTTATGTTCGGATTAGCCGTTGGATTTACATTATTTAACTGAACTGCATTTAATATCAGTTAGTTAATAATTTCCTAAGTGAACACGTATTACTTATGTCATAATGATCAACTTCCACACTGGCTTGATTTTCCTGCTTTTATTCTATCATATCAGTATTAATTAAGAAATTATTTACAAACGGATTCCTCTTTTTCATATAACTTACAGTTCTTACTTCCAACGGGAATAAAACTTGTCCTTTTTTATGATGCTTGGAATGCCCATTATTTTTTTGCTATTTTGAGTTACGTTCTTGTTCTCATTAGCTAGATGATATCTTATTCGGTCGGCTACTTGTCATCTAGATGTTTGGAATTATAGATGGTAAGTAATTTTCTATACTGTTTCATATTCGCTAAAATGACGGTTGAATTCACTTTAATGACGCACCCGAGATCTATCTGAATCTGAAGACTGATTTAGTTACTCGAACATATTACATCTGGTTCCACAGAAAATCAGACTTAGTTGAAGTCAAGTTTGCATTCAGGATGATAAGAATAAAAAAACAGTCAATCGCAACACAGTCAAACGCGAAAATAACTGGTTCCAAATGGCTGTTCAAGAAAATTGCGTTTCTACCAGTTAGAGCATCGCCACTTTGTCGATAATTAATTTAACCGATCTGATACAAAAATTAGATAAACACTGATTACTAATAAGTAACATAGTCATAAAACGAAAATTTCACACTGGAAGGCTAGGTCTGGGGTTTTTATGCATTTTAAGTTGTTCCCAGCGCCTTATTTCGGTGATATGGAGCGAATTCGGCGGTCTAACGTTACTTCTTTTCAATCACAACCTTAAAATTCGCAGTTTCGTGTTTTTCTCGCTTAATTTTCGAGGTTTAGTATGGATATTGATGCTTCCCAGTCGTTTACTCTTTCCAAACTGGTTCAGTTTTGGGGCTATTTATTTTCTTATGATATATTCTTCTACTGTAGACGCCTTTCAGGAATGTTCTAAAAAACAGCCGCATATGCTTTAAAGACGGACTTGCTTGTAATGATGATCACCTACCTTATAGCGACTATCTACTCAAATAATATTCATTTGTTAAGCGTCCATTAAAGTCCTAGATTATGAATCGATTCTACTTTCACACAATTTCTTCCGATCAGCATCATTCATCTTAAGGTCTTCAGTTGTCGAAAATTGATAGTTTAATGTGCGGCTTTCGATTAAAATAAGGTTGAAACTTCGATGATCAATATGTTTGTCGCCCGCACCTTCTGCAATATGTTTAGATGGGGGAATATATATGAGTCATTACGAATAACTGCAGAATAAATTACACTGTTCGCTACTAGATAGTTAATTTCAAGTATATTTTACTAGTCGTTCTGTTATTTGAATAAGTAAATACGTTATAAACTTGAGTTGTTTTTTCTAAATATGTTGGTAGACCCCTTCTTATGAGTGGGATCACTAACTGATAGTTTCTGTAATGTACTGTGTTAAAAGCATCTATCAGAATACCGAGCAATGATATGCTTCATCATTACAGAGAAGGTTAGTAAAGAAATGTAGTTTAGGCTTCCTAGTATGGTTGATCACAAACGATGATACTACTCGACAGGAGTTGTATTTATAATTAGGTGGCCTACCTGTATGATACAAAATTTTAGTGAAACCTCTGGCATTTACAGCTTTTGAAAGATATCATTTTGGATGGGTGTGGTTATATTGATAGTGCTGCTTGGATGTAATGGGCTTTTTTGTCAGAATCTATCGCAATAGTGAATATAGCAAAGGAGCTTATTGCCAAGCACAGCCCAACTGTTTCCGTCAAAATAGTTTGGATAATAATCGTAAGCAGTCGCCTGAAGCAAAAATATAGTCTGCTTGGTCACTTTGGCCGAAGAACAACCACCACAAATACTATTTCTTTTTTTGTAGTGTGATATGGTCTCTTTGGCTGGTACATAAACCAAGTATGCTTAAAATAAATGATTCGCACAGTGGAAGCTGTTATTAGCGTTCTGGACTCAATTGGAAGGGCTAGGAGAACAAAGGACCAATAAGAACGCTGGGTTGCTCATACCAGTCGAACGTCATTGGTTTGACACAGTGCTAAGATGGTATAAGTCGTATTTGATTGGCGAATAAGTCACATGATATTAATCCGGCCTTAAAGTCACAACACTACCGGTGGTTGAATAAGTTTGCCTTTCTATTGCTACAATTACAATGAGGTGTAAGACAAGTATTTGTTACAAAAAGTATTCTAACTATACATAGTGATTATTAATTAAAAACTAAAATAGTTTTGATTGGAATAAGATACAAGATGAAGTAATAATCCCCGGTTATTTTGAAAATGGAAGTAACAATTAGCGGAACTATGAACATATTAAGGAAGTATACGGTTAAATGAGGTAAGTTTTACGTGGAACAGGAGAGAGTAAGTTATAAGATGGAGATCGATAAAAGGGAGTGCGTAATAAATAACTAGAATTATCAGAGTCAGCGTAGGCAGGATAAACACTACATTGTATGGTATTGTTAAATGATAATATTAGATGAGTGGTAAACGTAACCGCAATGTTTTATTACAAAGTAGTCAGTCCTCAGTGGTAAGGATAGGTCAGTCAACCTATATTAGTCCTTGCAATTTGTAGTGCAGTGAAGATCCAATCTCACTTTGAATGTATCAACACAGGGTTCTGATATTGCGTGTTGTAGTAGAGAATTCCGGTAATTAACCACTTGGTGCAAGAAGCTAAACTCCAGTTGTAAACTATTTGATCTAGGCTTTTACGATTTTTTAGAATGTCTTCTCAGACGATAAGTCCTGGATGGGAGGAAAAGCTAAAATATAATAATA